TTCTACTCCACCTCTCCCGAAAAACCACAAAAAAGGGGGAGAGGGAGAAATCTTGCCTGTTCAGCAAAATTGGGTGTATTCTAATAACACAATGGTACCCAGGTTTCAAGAAAAGTCTCTTACTTTTAATCCTATTATCTCCATGCATTTCTGAAGATTAAAATGTGCCTGTTGATATGTGTGGAACATTTGTGCCTGTATTCACTTGCTGTTACAGACACAATTAATGAGAGGCAGGAAAAAAAAAACCATGTTGTGCAGCTAAGAACCAGCATGAATGATCCTATACAATCTGTATTGAAGCCAACAGTTGTTTCTCAACATCATAATGCAAAATGCATTTGTTGCCTGTAGCTGATGCTGCATTCCAGGTGTGCTTAAATTATTTTTTATTTCCCCTTCCCTTTCTTCATAAGGACAATGTTTATATTTACTTGCTTAACACTTCCAATGGTCTTCTACAAAAGTTTATTAACAGAACAAGAGTATCAGTCTCTTAACACCAGACAGCTGGAAGTAATGAAAATAGTAAATAGTATGTATGGTAATACGCTACATTCGTTTTTCATTTTTTCATTTAACATAAACTGAACTTCATTTAACTGAACTTTGATGGTTAAAAAAAAAAAGCTTTCAAAACTTGCTAATCTGCGAAACTTCCAGGAAAGTCTTGGGCAGGACTTTTGAACTTACTCTTTCCATTTAAATTATTGAAATAACTATTTTAAGACTAAATATTCTACATTAAGTCTCATGTGAAAGTAAAGTATTGAAAATATATGGCCAATAATTAAATGGTTAAAGGAATATTCATTAAACTAAATTAATTACAATATACTCAGGGAGAAAAAAATCCATGTGCATTCTTCACTATGCATACAAAGACACTGAATTCTGTGTGGACAGGTTGCGTCCTGGTACATTCTTGTTTGGCTCTTTTTACCAAAAAGAATGGTTTAATAAAGCAGAATTTAAGATATTACTGTACAATTCAAAGTGGAGCTTTGACTTGCTGCCACTGCAAGAAGTTTGGATTGCAAAAGCAACCCCCTCCCCCCAAAAACCATGAGAAATTTGGCTTACAGTTTTTAAGAATAACCACTCACAAAAAAGTTTGTACAGGTGAAACTCAAAAAATTAGAATATCGTTCAAAAGTTCATTTATTTCAGTAATGCAACTTAAAAGGTGAAACTAATATATGAGATAGACTCATTACATGCAAAACAAGATAGTTCAAGCCATGATTTGGCATAATTGAGATGATTATGGCTTACAGCTCATGAAAACCCCAAATCCACAATCTCAGAAAATTAGACTATTGTGAAAAGGTTCAATATTCTCTGCTTAAAGTGTCCCACTCTAATCAGCTAATTAAGCCATAACACCTGCAAAGGGTTCCTGAGCCTTTAAATGGTCTCTCAGTTTGGTTCAATAGGAATCACAATCACGGGAAAGACTGCTGACCTGACAGACGTGCATAAGGAGGGAAAACCACAAAAGAAGTTGGATGTTCCTAAAGTGCTGTATCAAAGCACATTAATAGAAAGTTATGTGGAAGGGAAAAGTGTGGAAGAAAAAGGTGCACAAGCAGCAGGGATGACCGCAGCCTGGAGAGGATTGTCAGGAAAAGGCCATTCAAAAGTGTTGGGGACTTTCACAAGGAGTGGACTGAGGCTGGAGTCAGTGCATCAAGAGCCACCACACACAGATGGATCCTGGACATGGGCTTCAAACGTCGTATTCCTCTTGTCAAGCTGCTCCTGAACAAGAAGCAACGTCAGAAGCATCTTACCTGGGCTAAAGAAAAACAGAACTGGTCTGTTGCTCAGTGGTCCAAAGTCCTCTTTTCTGATGAGACCAACTTTTGCATCTCATTTGGAAACCAAAGACCCAGAGTCTGGAGGAAGAATGTAGAGGCACACACTGCAAGATGCTTGAAGTCCAGTGTGAAGTTTCCACAGTCTGTGTTGATTTAGGGAGCCATGTCATCTGCTGGTGTTGGTCCACTGTGCTTCATTAAGTCCAGGGTCAATGCAGCCGTCTATCAGGAGATTTTGGAGCACTTCATGCTTCCTTCCGCAGACGAGCTTTATGGGGATGCTGACTTCATTTTCCAGCAGGACTTGGCACCTGCCCACACTGCCAAAAGCGCCAAAACCTGGTTCAATGACCATGGGATTACTGTGCTTGATTAGCCAGCAAACTCGCCTGACCTGAACCCCATAGAGAATCTATGGGGCATTGCCAAGAGAAAGATGAGAGACATGAGACCGAACAATGCAGAAGAGCTGAAGGCTGCTATTGAAGCATCCTGGTCTTCCATAACATCTCAGCAGTGCCACAGGCTGATAGCTTCCATGCCACACCGCATTGAGGCAGTAATTGCTGCAAAAGGGGCCCAAACCAAGTACTGAGTACATATGCATGCTTATACTTTTCAGAGGTCCGATATTGTTCTATGTACAATCCTTGTTTTATTGATTGCATGTAATACTCTAATTTTCTGAGATTGTGGATTTGGGGTTTTCATGAGCTGTAAGCCATAATCATCACAATTATGCCAAATCACGGCTTGAACTATCTTGCTTTGCATGTAATGAGTCTATCTCATATATTAGTTTCACCTTTTAAGCTGCATTACTGAAATAAATGAACTTTTGCACGATATTCTAATTTTTTGAGTTTCACTTATAACACTAAACTTTTAATTCCTGGTTAGTTAAGTCACTCCTGCCAATAGGAAGAATTAAACCAGAATTAATGGCACCAGAATTCTCCAGTTAAACTGCATGCAAATACAGCTGTCTTCTACATCCACAAAAGCATGAATGAAGTAAATGAACCCTACCTATATGTATGGCACTATCATGTTAACAGATAAAATACTGGCTGTATCAGATCCAGTGCCATTATATTCTACTCAGACAACAATTGGCTAATTTGTAACATAAGGTTGTGACTTATAGTAGAAATATCGGAAATTACTGGCTGTCCGATCCATGCTCCTCCACACTCCTGATACGCCACTTTGTGTCTCTTTCAAGGAAAGTTTAGAATTCTATCATTTTAATTTGAAATGTCACATTATTCTAAGAAGTAGATGCCATTGACCAGCTGATCTTTGTCATTAGTCTGCTCTTAAATCCCCAAGGTTAATTCTCTGATAACTGCTACTGCTTGTGTTACCTTTGTTCTGTCAACATCTGCATATTTCCTTTCTCTCCCTTCTTCACCTACCTTCTATCTTTCTCTCACTTGTCCCAGAAGAAACAAAATGTACATCAGTCATGATTTAAGTTTACTTATAGATTGTTACCTAAAGCAGTCAATCCTATTGCTCTACCAAGAATCTGGTGTATCTTTTCACACACATGAATATTCATTAACAAGGTATGGAAATACACATATGCACATACATCACACCTGTATGGAAAGACAACATCTGGGAGGCCTTGGCTCCACTGAGGTATCTGTTCAACACTTCTCACAGCTGTCAATTTGTCGATGACAGCAATAAGCAGTCAGGCTGATAGACATATTTTACAATCTTGTTCAAACATCTGTAATGGCAGAATTACTCATTTGTTTGAGTATTCTGGCACGATTTCATTTTAAGTTTTAAATTCCAATGGAAGATTAGCTACAATTTCATAATGACATAAAGCCCATGAATAGGATAGAGAAACCTGGGGAGGATCACTCCAACCTGCTTATATGTTTTTGGTAAAACATTTGTCTCTCTATCCCCGTTCCAAAAACTAAATCCACTTCTTACTACCATAGTCATCAGCTGTATTCAGTTGCAAACTGTCATAAAGTTATCTACATGGAGGTATGTATGTTTTGGAAATGTATAGTCTTCTCATAATAGAAATGGATAATTTGCTCCATTAAAGCCAGCAGATTAAATCAATTGATTTCACTGTGAAGAACCAACTCAACGCTGACTCATCTTGATATTCCTAGAGTTAGAACTTGGACAACATAGCAAAGGTGTAGAAGAAAGTAATAAACAGAACATTCTCAACAGTCAACTGGTTTTTTCTTTAAATAAAATCTAGTACTGTTTTGTGCTTCATCCCAGATGTTGAAAGCACTTCTTTTTATGATTTCAGTACTTATCAAAATAATCCTTAAAACAGATCAGTAGTTTACCCCCACAGACCAGTCAGGAGGCTGAGGCAATAGCAGGTAGCAGGTGGGATCATAAAATTTCATAGCCCATATTTTTTTTATTTGATTTTCAATTGAAGACTTTTCACTTCTTTTCACTTCTTTGTAGGCGTAGTTGCAGCAGCACGGAAGATTAGTTAAATACAACTCCAAGGTTCACCAAAATAATTCCCAGATCAGTTGGTATTAATAAGACGTAGGCATACCACTTTTTGAAAAGCACAGACATGTCACTTGACAATTCGACCCCATGAAAGTGTAGGGCACCTACCCAACACGACTGGATCTGCAGAACGCATTTCATTCGAATACAGAATTTGCAGAGAGAATAAAACATTAATAAACCAGACTGGCTGGCTTTGTGATAACCATTAAGCCACAAAATGGAATCAAAACAATCGAAACAGAACTTAAAGGAACCCAATTTAAACGCTGTGAGAAATAAAAGAAACCAAACTCAAGTTTTTTGTGTGCTAACTCCGTCCTACTCTGTTTTAGCGCGCCGCGTGAACGCAGCCCAAGCGCCGTTCGTCTTCGGATTCAGCCGCCGCTAAGCGCCTAAAATCCTACCCGGACTAGTCGCCAAAGGTTTCGAGGGCGACTGCGAAACCTGCTTCAGCCCGCATCGCTTCCCTCTCCACCCCACCCCGCACTCCGCGCTTCCCTTACAGTTCTCCATTTGTTTTCCAAAGGGGCGCCCGAATTCAGCGCCCCGGCCTTCCCGTGCAAAACGAATTGGAAAGAAACTCTGTCCTACGCACACGCTTTACCCTTCCTGCGCGCTAAAACCCAGCAACGAAGCCGCCCGGCCCTTCCTTCTATATACCTGGTATTGCAAGAAAGGCGCGTTCCTCCAAATCTTTTTTACCAGCTCTCCCTTTGTCTGGTTGGATCTTCCGAGGAGGACGGTGTACAGCGCCGAGCCGGTTGGGGAAAGCGCATCACGATGGCCGCTCGCGGCAGCGGCTCTTCGGAGAAAGAAGTTCAAGGCAGCTGAAAAGTTGCCGAAGGAGCTAGAGGAGGGGCAGCCGCACTCGCGCCCTCTTCGCCCCTTTCCTCCTCCGGCTGCCGGGGAGGAGAAAAGAAGCAGCGCCAAAAGGGTGGGGCGGGGTGGGGGGTACCTGCGCGCCCGGGTTCAAGCAAAAGGTGTCGCGCGCGTGTTTGAGAGGCAGCGAAACAGCGCGCGCCGGGGAGCTGTGTGTGTCGCGCGGCCTGTGGAGATTGTGGGCGCGCGCCCGAGGGTGGAAAGGCGCGAAGGGACCCCGGCCCTGTGGAAAAACCCTGCTTCTGAGGGAGCGCCAATTAGAGAAAAGTAGTAGCAGTGGCTTATCTTCCTCTTGAGGAAAAAAATGCCAAATACTGGAGTCCGAGGGGAGGGGGAAAAGGTGAGGGATGTGGATTCTTTCTTGCCCCACCATCTCCCCCGCAAAATGCTCCCTTTGCTTTTTTTCTTTTAGTCTCGAATACCAAGGGATGGACTCCCCCGCCCCCAAAAGTGAGGGTTGGGAGAGATATTGTCTCAACAGCTTTGAAAAATCTTTGTTAATTATTTACTGGTCTCTAATCTCAAATTCTTGGTCCAGCTACTGATAAGGCTGTGCCTTTGCAACCCCAGGTGTATTGGGTTGAAATTGATAATCTGACCCATTTCTCAATTGGGGTTTGGTCTGGAAGGTTTTTGGTGACCTTGGCAGATGATCTAGGTTGGAAGCTTTAAGTACAGATGTGCAACTTTGCTGCTGTCTGAGTTTGGTTGTTTTCTTGGGGATTTCATTACCAAAACTAAGTAACAGCATCAGTGCTAGTTAGAAACATCTGCAAGAAAACAACCAAGCTCGGAGAGCATCAAGGACGCCTCATTTCAACCCTAAACTGCAAATATTCTCCTTTATTGTTGTGAAACTCCCTGGGCTTTCAGGCCCATCAACCATGCATCCTTCTAGGCTATCTGGTGGAGTTGGGTTTTATGCTGAGTTGGGTTTTGTAGGATGGTTCCAATCTTTCCTTTCACGATGCACCCAGATTTTAGCACTGGAGGACCAAGGCTTGACACCTAAATCATTGATTCTTGGCATCGCCCAGGCTCTTATCTTGCTCTCTGTGCTTTTAAACATTTGCATGCAGCTGCTGCTGAAGCTTTGAAGTGGGGCACCACCTAATATCATGGAAGTAAATAGCACCCTGGAATAGTGCACAAACTTGATAAAAGGATAACAACTGAAATTATATCCAGACAATATAGAACTGCTATTGATAAAAGGAATGTTTGCATTTAAGGACTGGACTCAGAAAGAGGAAGTATTCCTTGAGCCCATAGCCTGTCACTAGACTTTCAAATGATGACTGTGGCAAGGAGCTTGTTTGAACAAGTACAGCTTGTGTGGAAACTGTGAGTCTTTCTGTATTAGTTGGACTTTGTGATGCTTATTCACCATATCCAATATTGCCCTTTTATTGAGTACCTGAGAATTACAGAATACAGAATAACAGAGCTGGAAGGGACCTTGGAGGTCTTCTAGTCCAATCACCATTTGGTCTATTCCACAATTTTTTTAAAAATCTTACCAAGAAGTCAGTTGTGGTCTACTTTGCCATATGCCTTACTGAAGTCCAAGTATACCATATCATAGCATTTGTTGATTCACTAATTTAGTCACTTTTGTCAAAGAATGCAACAAGGTTTGTCTGGCATGATCTGTTTAACGAATCTTGTTGGCTTCCAGTAATAGCTTTGGTCTTTTCTAGGGGTTCACAGATCCATTGCTTGATTATCTTTTCCAGGATCTTTGGAGGCATTGATATCAGGCTGATTAGTCTGTAGTTTTCTGGATCCTCCCTCCCCCCACCCTTGTTGAAGGTGGAAACGACATCAGCTCTTTTCCAGTCCTCTGGTAGTTTTCTGGTGTTCTCAGATTTTTGAAAGATATGGTACAGTGGTTCTGAGATGACATCTGCCAACTCCTTTAGAACTTTGGCATGTAATCTATTTGGTCCTGGTGATTTGAACTCATCTAGAGTGGGCAGGACCAATTTGCAAAACTTTGGTTCCCTCTTAGACATCTTGGTGGTCCTGGGAAATACTTGCCATAGTTGATGGGATTAATCCACATTTCTGGAATCAACACCCATAAACTTTCCATGCAGAGTGGCCCATTCATTTGTTTACCTCCATCTGCCCACAATTCCCTATTTGGAATTGGGCCATGCGAGCGGCTGACCAGAGCCTGTGTGCGGGCTCAGCTCATCTTTGAGCAGAAGTTGTGAGTCCAGCAGGACCTCCAGATTGTACATTAGGTCTGTTTATAACATTTATATGAAGGTATCACTCGTGTGCACGCACATCTCAACTTGCATGGGCAGCAGGCGTTCTTCTGCCCCTCAGCCGGGCCACCAAGCTGCAAAGGTTGGGGACTACTGCTTTAAGATGACCTGGATCTGCTTTCAGCCTATGCCCCAAGAGGCCAATACATGAAGGAGGCACCACTGTGAGAAAAGTCTTCAGTAAATGTCAGGTGAGCCATTTCAGTGTTATGACAGGATGTGTGAAAATTGGGGCTCACTAGAGCAGTGGTCGCCAATTGGTGGGCCGCAGTCCACTGGTGGACCGCAAGAAAATTTTGGTGTCTCACAGAGAAATGTTTTCCCAAAGCACTCCCCAAAACAATTAATCCAGGCTGCATGGAAACACAAGGCTGCACTGCTCACATGGCCCACCCACCCACTGGCCCCCACCCTTCAGCCGAACGCAAACTTTACCTTGAGTAGAGCCACGTGAGCTGGAATTGGAAGGTAAGACCAACGGCGGGGGAGGGAAATCCGCCCCAGGGTGGCTTGCTGACAGTGGTGGGAAAGTCAGTTCCATATTCCAGAGCTGCAGTAGTCCCAGGACTGGCCCTTTGGTCATCCCGAAGCAGCTCTGGAATATGGGACCGACTTTCCCCCACTGTCAGCAAACCACCATCAGTCAAAATTCATATTAGTGGTCCATGGGATTTAAAATTATGAGCTTGGTGGTCCCTGTGGTCCAAAAGTTTGGCGACCCCTGTTCTAGAAGACCTCCAAGTTCCCTTCCAACTCTGTTATTCTATTCTATTCTATTCTATTCTATTCTATTCTATTCTATTCTATTCTATTCTATTCTATTCTATATTTGTTATGTATAAAATACAGGACAAATGAAAAAATACTTTTGCTTCACTTTGCATTTTAATTTTCCATCCAAAATAGCTTGTGCTATTGCTTATATGACATAAATCTGAAGAAGTGGACTTTCTAATACACAAAAGCTTGTGCATAATAAGTATATCTAGCCCTATAAGACTTTGCTTTTTGACCCTGGAATGTATAGTGTGAAGAGAGAGGAAGCAATATCCAACATTACTTTTTGTTAAAATTCTCACTTTCACAGAGCCCTGAAACTCCTACCAAATTTTCTTCAGGCAGATCACAGAAGCAAACTTAACCCCATTCCCTTTATATGGGAATTGTCCATATTAAAAAGACATTGCCTGAAAGAAAATGTTCCACTCTTAAATTCTCAAATTGTAGGTTGGGTTATTAATTGTAACAATAGCTATGGCCCAATTCCAAATAGGGAATTAAATCCTTAAATCCAGACATTCCTTTTATCCATAGCAGTTCGTTCTCTCTATATTTGAGTTTTCACAAAAAGAACAATTAAAACATCTTTTTTGAAAGCAGCATAATCCCGGGTTACATTTCTTCGTACAGACACAAATTCAGGTTCATGCTCATTTTTATATTCTATTCCATATCTTATTACAATTTTACATTTTCTACATGGCTTCTCCCCTCTTTTAATTTCCTCAATTTTATTGTATTTATTTCATCTCAATTCAAATCATTATATTTATATATATTTTCTGTCCTGTTTCAATTGTCTGTTATCTTTTCTCATTAAACAAAATTTCTCCTATAGTTACTGATTGGAGTATGATGCCTTTATATCTTTCCCCTAATGTTATAACACTCAATATAATACATAACTTCCATTTGGATTCTGCTTGGTACATTCTTAAAATACACACAGTATTCTTAAAAAAAAGAAAAGAAAAAATTATAAATGTATATAATTAAAACATTCCATTCCAATTCAATTCTATCATTAATATTAATATTCATTACAGTCTTAACATTTTTCACGTTACTTTTCAATTAAATATCATACTTCTATGGGAGCAATTATAAACTTTCCATAATCATTCCCCCCCCTTCACTTATATTTTATAAAACATTGACTAATTAAAGTGTTCCCATTCCTTCCTAATTCAATTTTCTCATTTATTTTTTTTCATTTACTTTATTCACAAACATTTCACTAAGTTACACTAACCATTCTATCCCTCATTCTAATCATATGTTGTTTCCAATTTTCTAAAGTTATTTCTATTTCAAATATAACAACACAATCTCATGTACCTTTACAGAATCCCCCTTTCAGTTAGATTTTCACCCATTATCTCTAAATAGTTCCTGTTTCTTTATATCTTGCTCCGGACCTTTGTAACTTCTTTTCCTTTCCTTCTCCTCTCTCTTCCTCTCTCTCCCCTTTTTACCCCTTTGTCTCTCTACCTCTATTTCCCTCTTCTGTATTCCCCTTTTCTGTTGCTTTCCAGTATTATACTTATTTTTCGAATTATTTTTCTTTTCTTTGGTTGTTTTTTTAAGTCTTAAGTTCTCCATCCTCTTTCCCCCCTTTCCTTTTTCTTCCCCACATAGAATTATTTGTTCATTAAAGATGGCTTCTTCTTTGTCCCAGTCTTCTTGTTTTGCAGTCTTTTCTTGTTGTTTCTCATAGTTCCAAATCTCCATTTCTAAAAATTGAAAAACGAAGCCAAAGGAACCCTTCCCTTCTTGTGCATCTCTTTGTACTTTTTAAGTTCCATTTTCAATTCATCCAAAAGTAATGCCATTGTAGAAATTTTTAAACAACCACCTGATTGATTTTAGTCATTCAAATATAACAGCCAAAAATCCAAAAGTCACCAAGTAATTC